CTGTTTGGGATGTTGGTGGTCAGGATAAGGTACTGCTTTGATTATGGTAGTCAGCTTTTTATTGTCCAAGAAATTGAAATTATTTAACAAGAGATATTAAGTTATGTGAGTAAATTGCCTACAATATGTTATTTTTGTTTTAGAATAATTGATCAAACATTGCGTGTTTTAAGGTATGATCATCTTGAAAAAGTTGCATAACATATAAGATGTTTTACATGCAGAAAGTACCTTCTTGATGCCATTATGATTGGTCCATCATTAGTAACTAACTTGTTTGCATATTTCTCAATGCCTATGTTCTGGTGATCTTGTTGTTTGCAAGAACAGATCAGACCTCTGTGGAGGCATTACTTCCAAAACACACAGGGCCTTATTTTTGTTGTTGACAGCAATGATCGGGATCGTATTGTTGAGGCAAGGGATGAACTCCATAGGATGCTAAATGAGGTAACATCTCGTAGTGGTAATACTTGCCTCATAAAGCTTTTAGTATTAACTCTGTTCTTGACTTCTTATACAACAGCTCATGGAAAGTCTAATTCATGTAGAATTTCATTACATTTGCAATGACAACTTGTGTATTTTTTTATTTCAGATTTCTTATAACACTCTAGGGTATCCCATTCTATAAACTTTGACTTCCATTAGATTATTCACTAGTGAAGATAATTCTTTTTGTCTGCTCTTTCTTTGTGAAAAATTTCCCTTGTATGATTATCCAGTGATAAAGTGGCTGTGATTTTACACAAAAAATCAGTGATTGGTGCAATGAAAAACTTATATGATTGTACTTCTCATAGAATTTCTTGCGATTCAAACTTATATCCTGTGGGAAACAAGAGGCCTGCTTTTTTCTTCTTTTGCCTGTAAAGTTTCTTTAAAATGCTTTTTTTTGTTATTTGTAGCCATCATTCTGCCCCCCTCACCTAAATGAAAAAAAGGCTAAATTTCAGAAACCTACTATATTAGATTTGCTAACAGAGTACAGATGAGCAACTGCATGACTAAATTTGAGGGCCTCTGTCACCCTCACCTGCCCGAAGGTCAATGAATAGACTTCACTTTAGTGTAAAGCTAAATGAGTTGTGAATACGTAACATATGACACTTCACTTGAATTTTGTTTCATGCACACGGTACTTCTTTCTCATTGTATAGATTTATATAACATTTTGGACCTTTAGATATTTGCAAGTCTTTACTTCCACTAAACAAATTAATTCTTTTTTTTCCTCGTTCAATGTTAAATTATAAACTGAAATTTGCAAGCATGTTCTAGAATTGCATATTTTTTCACTTTTCCCCTTTTTTCCAAGTATTTCTGGATTTGTAAATATTCCTTTGACAGAAAAAAAAAACAGATAAAAACTTTCTGTTCAGGTCTCCTGCTTAAATAAAAAATATAAATAAAATTTTAAACATGGTACAGTTTGCTTATCAATTGCATCCTTGAACTAGCAATTGTCTTGTTCATAAAGTCAGACAAGAATACATGAATTACTGGCATGGTTAGTCTTGTCAAGAACTGTAAAACTGAACGTAAATTCATGTATTAATAGTTATAATATCTACAGGAACTAGAGAGAGTTATGGATCACAAAGCCTAAATTGAAGAATGATCCATTGTATGGTTATTGAAACCCTTGTACTGAACATTTAGATTGTATGAAATTTAGAACATGTCAGATGTCTTCGTTGCTACAGTAAGGTAATTGTTTCTTATTATGAATTAATGAATTAGTGTTTCATCTCTTTATGTGTTTTGAGACTGATAGGATGAGTTAAGGGATGCGGTTTTGCTTGTGTTTGCTAACAAACAAGACCTTCCAAATGCAATGAATGCTGCTGAAATCACTGATAAGCTTGGTCTGCATTCCCTGCGTCAACGACACTGGTGAGATATTCTTCACTTTCTGAACTAATAGTTTTCAAATGCTTGTCTTTATAATATCTACTTTGTACCATGGCCCATGGGTGCAGATGGGTTACACGGAAGTAAATCAATCATACATTTGATGATTAACTAAAGTTTGATAGCCTTCTGTTTGATCCTTTTGGTAAAGGACCACATGACTTGCATTCCATTGTCAATTCCAAGGTTTTGGATTGAGAATTTGCTGTTTAGAAGATCTGGATTTGGCATAACAGCTATGGGAGAAACAAGGTCTCAGTCAAAAATGAGCTATAAAATCACTAAAAATGAAAAAAAGGGCTTCACGATTCGTCTTTGTTTGGATAACAAAATGATCCATGTTGTGGCCAGAAAAAGAAAAAGGAGGCGTCTCCTGTGAGTTACGGACCAGCATGTTCTTAGCACATTTTGTGCCGCATAATGGCAGAAAACTGGAAAGGGTAATCTCTCTCATGTATGATGCTGCATCAGAAAGAGGAAACAGAACAAACTGAAGGACAAGAAGAAAAGTGGTCTGATTCCTTTCCTCTGTTTTATGACTCATGCATCTAAGATGCATGCTACTGCACAGTGACAGAACGGGACGTGGATGAGAAAATTTGGGGTCTAATCCAAGCTGATCTTGAGCCAATTCAGCATAGATTGGTTATTAACCTAAAATCAATCATATCTCCTAGTGGCATATGCTGATGCTGACCCCCAGTGGCATCCATCATTCTCACTTATAGCATCTAGAAAGCCTGAACTGTCTAATAAAGTGTGCATAATTATTTCAGTTAGGTATATCATGCACATTTTTTATTATTTGCAATTTTTTCTTACACCAAAAGAGCCAAGTAAGCAAAACACTTAAGGAAGCGCCAATTTGACATGCTTAATCTATCTGTTTGAAATGAACTTATACATCTAAACCTTGAAAACAGCATGCTGGGCGACTCTTGAGCTAGGTTCGATGTTTTTAAAATCCTGGTGAAAGAGCAATTTGTATTCCAGCGAATTAATTGCTTGGCCTGGTCATTTGATGTTTGACCCTCTCTTCTTTGTCATGGTTCTGGGACCCTTAGAGTCTGGCTGACTCCCTACGGTTAACTTAATCTTATCAAATTTGGTTCAATCTCCTAGTGGACTTGATATTCTATCTTTGTTTTCTTTAGTTCTTTGTTCTCCAACTTACAGATTGTGCGAAACATATATGAAATTTTGAAAAGGCATTTTCTGAAGTTTGAGACCTTTAATTTGATATTTGGTGATCAACAAGACAGGCCTACTTGTTTGTCGTATTCTCATGACCGATCATGTGACTGCAGAGTGCGCTCAGCAGTCTGGTCTGACTCTAGAGGAAAAGGAAAGTGGAGAAGGGAAATTCATCCAAACCTCTGCATTTTTCTAAGAACGATCTAGTCTTTCATTTTATTCACTTTCATTGGCCTCTTATCCATCTACAGTGAACAATATTTGTGTATTTCTGGTCATGTTTGTCTGCCACTCCCAGGATGACATCTCCTTGTGCGATGAACTCCATTATGACTTCCCTTAGTATCTATCATAGGCATCTTTTTCTTTGTATATGTGTGTGCATGTGTGTTGAGCTCTTGGTGTTTTCTGTATGGACATAAGTCTGAAAATTAGTTTGTCAAAGGAGCTGTCATGGTGTGAAAGGTGGTGTGATCATTGAGTTTGATATGCTATGCAGGTGCAGAACAAATTAATGACTTGTCATATTGGGAAAAGTAGCATTTCAACCAGCTTGGTCTGTGTGATTATTAAGACTAGAATAGCAGTATATCTTTAAATGAAGAGTTTTGTATCTTGTTTTCTTGCTAAATTCTTTGAATTGAATTGCACAACAGAACCTAATCATTCCATACAGGGTTCTGCATTCTGATGGTAGATCTCAAAAATGATTGAATAAGATGAATAAGGCCACTAGGATTGCTGACTGGTTTTGTGGACTTATTATGGTCAGGTACATACAAAGCACTTGTGCCACATCTGGTGAGGGTTTGTACGAGGGGCTTGATTGGCTCTCCAGCAACATTGCCAGCAAGGTATCTCCTTTCTCTTTTGTTCTTCCTTTCGGGTTGGTTATTAACTTGAGAGTTCCAAGTCTATGCATGCGTGTATGTGTAGCACTAGAATATGTTGATTGCCAACTTCATAGAGAGTTGTGTCTTACTTCCTGTCTTCTGGCTTTTGTGAAGAAATCTCTTTCTCATAAGTTATAATGGTAATACAATAATCTGTGCTGATAACATAAATTATCTTGACAGTGACCGACAGCAGCAGTATTGCCCGTTCACGGCATAGTTGGATGCTTTCATGACATCAGGGACCAAGAGCACTCAAATTTCCACGTAGGTGGATTATATTTTTATGCCCCGCCCCCCATCCGCCCCGCCCATTTTTTTTTTCGTATTTCAAAAAGCTTCAAGAAAAAGTTTGCAGTACACAGACGTGCTGCTACTACCTTGTAGCGTTTGTATGTCATATCTATTTCTTTTCCGATGCATTAATGGCCTTTTGTTGAATGGTTTTTGGTGGATGATTTTACTTTGCTCGTTACCATTACTATTCTCTTTTTTTTTGCTTTTCTTGACATTGGATCTATCTCCTTCATCTTTGCACCCGACAAGGATGCGGTTGCTGAGAACTAACAATGCAACGCCAAGCCTTGTCGATAGAGACGAGAGCAGTTAATGGAAAAGCTCATGGTGAATCGATCCTTGTTATGATGATATACCAACTGCGTGATGCAGTCAGTACATGTAAAAGGGTTTTGTGATCCTCGGATTCATTTATAGTCAATTCGATAGCATAATATATATATATATATATATATAAAATTTTAGGTGGGTTGGAAAAACACCTGACGTGTTATTAGGTTTTTCCCTAGTGAATCCAGAGAGCGTTGAGTGAAAAGATTTTAGGCTTCGGATTGAGTTAATCCAGGAGAGAGTTATTACTTGTATTTAGTTTTCTCATATAATCAAGAATTAGGCTTTTCTTCCATGGACATATAAAAGAATGTCGTCGAACTATATTAATATTTTGTTATGCTGCCAAAAAAAAAAAGAAGATAAATACGATAACATGAATGATGATGATTAAGTTGTTGCAACAACGTTGATTCTCCTTGTAGCAAACTTAGATCAGCGACTTGCTGACAGATTTGAGTCGACGACTCCAAAAGGGGGCTCCTTTCCAACCCATGTCGCCTAAATCAAGCTCATAGAATACCAAAACCATGGCCACCGAGGACAAAGCCATCGGCACAGGACCAAAAAACCACAACAGCATCGGAAGCGTGACCAAAAGCACTCGGTTGCCCACGACAGCCAACACGCACCCTCTCTTCAGCATCTTCTGCGCCTGCTTGTGAAACTCCTCCTCCCCGGCATTGATGAGGAAGTTGGCGTCGATGAGGCACCCGATCGCCAAGGAGTTGGACAAGAAGCTGAACAACAAGAAGAGCAAGGCAGAAGCGTATTTCAGCACCACCGTCGACCCTTCTTGCGAACCGAAGAACTCGTGCCGGCGGAGATGGCTCGAGTTGTAGGCGTTGTTAGCCAGAGCAGCCAAGGAGGTACTGATGGTGACGGCGATCGATGCCGAGAGTATCGCCGACATGAGAGCGTTCCGTAAGCTCTGGACGCCTAGCATGTCTTTCTTCTTGTTGTCCTGCAGCACTTGAGTGAGTCCAAGAGAAATCTGGGATGGTCGAATGAAGAACAAAGTGGTGCACTTGGTTTCTTTTGTTGATCACCTGGATGACGCCTTGCAGCCATGTTTCTCTCTTGCTCATAGTGTACCCGATCGTGGTGGCTGGTTGCTTGGCCTTGGAGCCGAACCAGATGTAGGTGTGATAACCTGCTGTCAGGAGGAGGCTCAAGGGAACTAGAATGAGATCCAACGGATATCTGCACAAATCCATTCTCTGCGTCACTCACAACACACAGCGACAGATATGAACGCTTGTACCTATATATATATATATATCTATCTATCTATATCACCTATTTGTTTCTCCATTTCAGGAGCTGAGGCAGCAGGCATTCATTGTTGGAGTTAGGTAGTCTCAGTCCACAGAAAAAGGGTTATCGTAGTGGTGCCACCTTCAGCTCCATAAACTTATAATTTTAGGATCTATCTTGAGAATTCTTAATTCAACGAGGCCGACTTGGTTGGTTCTCTTCATCTCCACAATGTGTCATCCGAGAAGTCAGCTCCATAATGTTATTTTAGAAGACCTTCTTTAAGAATTTAATTAGGCTTATTGTTTCTTTCCGTGTGACATATGATAAAATCCGTATATCTCTAAACTTTGATAGGAAAGTAAAATATGATAAAATACTTTTTGAGTTCTCGTAAGTTTTTCTGCTATGATTCTAAAGAGGAGAGAGCGTTTAAACATACGAGATATTTGTTGAATTTCTGTGAGAGTGTGTAAAGTAAATTTGTACTTTAATAAATTTGAAACTTAATTAGTATCGACTTTCAATTATGTTGTTGAAGTCTTCTCTATCTCCCTCCCTAACTAACGTAAACTAATTATAAGTGTCAAAATTATTAAAAAATGACAGATAAACATTCCATTAGGTAGGTAATTGAATGACGACAAGAAACTCTCAAATCCATGTCAATGGTCTAATTATCAGTGGCTTAGTTAGGTAGAACGTAGAGTTCCGGAAAGAAAATATTAAACATTGGCGTAAGATAGAAAAGAAGCACGGCAAAGTCTGTATACTGGCTTAATGGATCAGAAAAGAAGCCATTAGTCTCATCTTTTATACTTGGCTAAAAGTGACATGCTGAATTCAGCATGATCAGTAAATTTAACCATCAACTAGCAATGTTCCAAAGTGACAAGGATCAGAATGGACATTAGTGTATGACCGAGGAAGTGCCATCTTCTTTTAGGAGCGGGCACGCTTGTCTCTTATATAAAGAATAATAATAGGTTAGACTGGTGGTGTTGCCCTTTGGAAGAAGATTGATGCAACCAGACGCAGTGCAAATATCCAATAGTCTCGTGGATCTTCCTCGACACCTATCGTCACCGTGAGTTGATTTTTAGTAGCGTGGCTCGTTGGACCTCTCGAGACCCAAAATCCTCACTGGATATGGATGTTTTGAATCGTGAAGGAGATTCGACGAGCTGCACTTTACATTCACGAGCACCACTGCTGATAGCAAGAAGAAACTTCGAGATCACATATCGACACTACTGTGTATGCTGTCCGACAATATTCTTTCTGGCTGGAGACTGAGATGAGAGGGGGCTAATGTTCCCGGCTGATGAACGGAGCAGAATTATCAATGCACACACATATATATACATTCTGTATAGTACTTTATTTTGATTTATTTCTATAAAATACCCCTTAATTATAAAAGATAAAATTATACATAACATTAACCCCTTGTTTATTGTTATTTGTCACTCTTTAGTTACCTCCATCCATCCTTCCTTATTCGTCTCCACCCTCCCTCTCATTTGTGATTGTTGTGCATTCGTTGGCACATCAATGTTCGCAGGCAAGAACATTGAATATAAAATGAATATAAAATTTAGCACTTTAAAAGTTTAATTTTTTTTTTATATTTTTGACTAATTTAAAGTAATCATAGAACCATTATCAAGGATAATTTTATAAATTTTTGAATTTTTTTATAGTTTAAGTTATACTATTTTTGAATGAGATTACACTATTTTTGGGTCCTCAAAAAACACTATAACTCTGATAAAAAAAAATAATGTGATTGAAATTTTTTATTTGAAAATTTTAAATTTTTAATGAAACCTTGTAAATGCCTAATTGACTATTGTTTTATTTTCGGACTATTAAAGGACATATTCTCTATCAATTGAAACATAAAAGCTGAAATTTTTATTTTTTATTTTTTATTTTTGACCAATTTAAGCTGAAATTATGATTTTTTTAGCCAAAATTTTTATCAGACTTGGAAATATCATGTGAAGACTTAAAGGACATGTTTTCAGTTAATTTAGCACTTAAAAATGTTAATTTTTTTCTTTGTTTTTGGTCAATTTAAGCTGAAATCATAATTTTTTAACCAAAATTTTTGTGAAACGATGAAAATATTTGATGAAAGCCCCAAAGGACCATTAAAGTTTTTTTTTTTTGGCTAATTTAAGCTAAAATTATAATTTTTTTGTCAATTTTTTTTTATGAAACCTTGAAAGTATATATTTTTTTTCTTTCTAATTTTAGATCATCAAAGGACCAATTTTAAGTTAATTTAGCTCGTAAAAGGCTAAAATTTCCCCTTATTTCCATTTGTAGTAAATATAAAGAACCAATTTGGATCAAAAATCATATTAGAGATGATTTTGTGAAGCTTCGAGTTATAATTTTAGTTAAACTATTTCTTATTTCTCCTTTTAAAATTTTCATTAAATTTATTTTGTAAATTCCTTGGGAAGCCCAAAATGACTAGTTTTTTTTTCTTTTTCTTTTCTGGACAATTAAAAGTACCTATTTTCATTTTCTTCAACCCTAAAAACCGAAAATTTCTAAAAAGGCCCTAAACACTCCTAAAAATACTTACCGACGTGTATGCTTTTTAATGTTCATGTCGTCCGTCGTGATTCAATAATAATAATAATAATAATAAAGCAGCTCTTTCCAATGAAAAAGAAGGCAAAAATTGCAGCTGGAATGAACGTGCGTGATTTCGCCAACCACACACAGTACCTACTGTTGTAAAAAAAACCCAAAAATAAATCATTCGTTTCCACAGTTATCTTCTACGGTAGATTATAACGCTCTCTTTAAATCGCGAATGTTTTTGCAATTGTAACGCTTTCATGTGTCTCCTTCATACCGTCATATATTCTGCCGCCCTCACGCAAGCGAAGAGGAACCCTAATTAAGCCTTCCGTTTCGCTTCTCACTCCTCATTTCCTCGTCCTACTTTCGCCGTTCCTCTCTCTCTCTCTCTCTCTCTCTCTGTCTGTCTCTCTCATTTTCTCTGTCCAACACTCTCTATAATGCCCTCAATCCCCTGCGGCGCTCTCCAAAGCCTCCTCATGGGCGGCTCCAAGTACATTCCCGTGCGATACTCTGCCTATGCCGCTGCCGTCGCAGCTTTCGTTCCTCGTCGCCTTCTCCATTTTCGCGTCCACCTCCGCTCACCTCACTTCCGAGGCCCCGTCTATAACAACCTTCCGTTCTGTCAGATATCTTATCGAGCTTGCAACCGTTCCTCTGTCCCCGTTACGGCTGCGAACGCTGGTTGTCACGTCAAACACTGAATCTTTCTGTAGTTTTTGGGCTTCAATTTTCTTGATTTCTTATGTTTATGGCATACATAAGATGGTTCTATTGCTTTTTAAAGGTTTATTTGTTGCAACAGTTGAAGTCGCACGGCCGGGTGATGAGACCATCTTTGCAGAGCGGATTGCACACTTGAAGACAAAGATGAAGGAAGTAGGAATTGAGTACGCTGCTTGTATACCTGGGAAGAGTCCGGCATTGCTATGCCCAAAGGTTCCTCCTCTACCCCTTTGATATCATTATTATTCTGTTCATCCTACCCCCTGATTTCCATGATAATAAATTATTCCATTGCAACTAGTCATTTTTTGCTGCAATTTTCTTTACTAGCTCAACAATTTTCTTTGCTGCAATTTTGATTTGCACGTTGGTAGCGTGATGACCACCGATGTGTGTTTTGAAAGTTAAGTGTGGTAACGTTGGCACAAAAAATCCTAGATTAGACAAGCTCATAATTCCTAAAAGCGGTGGCCACAACCAATATTTTAGCATCGATGACATGCAGAAAGTACAGAAGAAGCTAATTGCATTTTAGACTTTTTATCAGGCTACCATCGAGCTTTTTGGCCACAGTTGCTGCCTCTTCACGATGGTCTTATAGTTGTCGGTATAAGACCATATATCTTTAAATGACTGGTCAGTTTAAATTGTATTTACTGGCTCAGCCCCAGTATAACAATTTAATTTAAATCATTCCAGTTTAAAATAAGATAACTTTTAAACCAAGTTTTTTGCTGCTGTACTGATTTGCATCTGCAATCTTACTTTTTTTAATCATATCGTGGATAGCGAATGGCATCGTTTTTTCAATTTTGATTTTTTGACATTATGTAACTCCTGAACTATGAAGTTTCATCTTGATATTTTGGTCTCATATTGTATGAAATTATGACACTCAATTCTGTTCTCTATGAGAAATTTTCAGGTGTTTGGATCTTTGATAGTGTGTAACATGACTCATATAATAATATAATTGTAATTTTATGTTGGTAGTCCACTTTCAGTTGTAAAATTTTGAAGTAATGGCTAAAGTCTCGTCTGCTTGATTGCATATGCATGTGTAGTTGGTGTCCTTGTATGTGTTTGTGCATGCAACTTTATACATGTAAAGTATGTTTGTGCAGGAAAGCTTCAATGTCTATGCAATTAGAAGTAGATAGGTTGTGCATATCAGTATGCCATCCAAATTTATGAGGATTTATTTGTTAACTGTGGTTTAGATAAATACCTGAATGTGCGTGTGTTCAAGCATGTTTGTAGATTAAATCTCTATTTTTAATATTTTAGTGTAGAGGAGGGAGTTCCACGGTGAAGAGCCTTTTTGTTGTCATCCATGAAGATAGGTGAGTTCTCTTTCTCTGTCCTAATCAGATAATGACCGTCCTTTTATTTGTTTCTTTCGCTCTGCAACATATAGTATCTGGCTTTATAATTTTTTTCTTGATGATATTTATTTTTCTTCTTGTTCCTCTAGAAATTTGGCAATATGGACATGCTTTAGAGGTGAATGTGGATGGAAAGGTGAAGTACAGGTATTGTCATTCTAGAGAAATACATTTATGGCAGCAGTCACCAGGCATTGGAATTGCAAGTTTACCTGTATGTTGCTGTCAATCACTATTCTCTTGTAGGCTTGTGAAGATGTCAAGGCAGGCTTGACTGAAAAAGATGAAGATATGAATGCTAAGCAGCATACAGTAACTACAGAAAAGCGTCTTCAGCTAGAGCCATTAGGTGAAGAGGTAGTTAATACTTAATAATAATGCATATATTTGAAAATTTTATCGTTATTGGTTGTCTTAATTATGTGTCTTCTTTCATTTAATATTTTACATTTTACTGTACTTCCTCTTTCAGACTATGCAATCTGGTTTCAAGTTCATCAGTAAATTCTCATATGATGTTGTGAATTTTGTTCTCCATGTTCATTCTCGCAGATGGACTTGATAGAATTTCATTGCTCTCTTATCAATAATGGTTTCGTGAAAATTAGCCAAAGGAATGACATAAAGGACAATTGCTTTAGATCTATGGCAGCAAAATCCTTGCCATCCTTTTTACAATGATGTGGCGTTTGAGTCATCTTTTCATGTTAGTGCCAAAACAGGTTCCTAAATGTTGTAATGCCAGCTAAGGAGTTGAATGTAGGCAATTACAGTCGCTAATTTTTTTGGCTTTCACCACTTTGTTTGTTTTAGTATCTTTTACAGTAATGCAATTTGGCTACAGAGATCCTGATGTGATATATTAGTCTATACTGTCATTAACTGTATATCATCATGGATGGACAGATGATGTGACTCATAAAATTACATCCTCCTGCATTTACTTTTCAGGTTATTGCATACTTCGCAGATAGAATGATATCGGCAGAAACTCTTCGACGAAATGCTATCAAGCAGATTAAATGTGGAAAAAAGGTTTAACTTTCAGAATTTTTTTTTCTCCACGTGACAGGGTTTTATGTTTTCATGACATGATTGTGGTACTCTTTGCAGATTGCTATCGCTTTTCCTTACAGACGAAATGGAACACTTGTAAGCTGCAAATACCGTGATTTCTCCAAAAAGTTTTGGCAGGTTTATGCAATGTCCTATTCATTTATTAATAGATACAGTCTTTAGATATTTTTATTTTTGATCAAATACATATATGTTTGAGAATATATTTATATTATGTGAACTTGCCTTTTTCCCATCTAATAGGAACCAGACAAGGAACGGATTTTTTACGGACTTGACGATATAAACCAATCTAGTGACGTCATAATTGTAATTTGTCTAACTGTGATCCATTTACTATATTCCTGATAGTTTATCTGATTTTTTTCTATTTTCCTTCTGTGTCATTTCTTCCTTTTTCCTTTTCTGTTAATACAGGTTGAGGGTGAAATAGATAAACTCTCCATGGAGGAGGCTGGTTACCGTAATTGTGTTAGCGTACCTGATGGTGCACCTGCACAAGTTTCCAAAGGGCCACTTGTGGCAGCGGAGGAGGTCTTGACCAGACTTGAAATTTGAAATGATCCTTTTTAGGTTTTAAAATTCTTTGATTCTTATATTAATTTTTCATGGTCTTATTCTTCTGAGGGTTGAATTTTTGTGCCTCTTTTACTTCTTTTATAAGTCTGAAATATACAACATCCAGTTGTTATATGTTTATCTTTTAAGGGGGTGGGGTGGGGGAGCATAAAAACAAGGTTGGGTATACCAATCTTTCTCCATTGCCATGATACAAATCTGAAGTTTTTTATATTAGGTTTTCTAGAAGGGTATTACATTTCATCTTTTGTAAAGAACATATAAGCCATGGTTTGCAAGTGATATTTTTTTGTTCCAAAGCATATATGCACTCTTTTTTGAGACACACAAACTCAACTTACATGTTGGTGCCCTATATCTAATAGTCTAACATGTCTGCAATATCATTCCTGGTCACCAACTGTGGTTTAGGTGAATCTAGCTGTTTTGGATTTAAGTTCCTGAAATGGCATTATGCTGTGGTTTAGCTACTTTTTAATTCTTTAAGCATGAACCTAACAAAAAAAGGCGAAGTCAAGCAGTTGCATTAAGTGAAAAGGGTAAAAACTAAGGTTTTACGTACCTCACATTCTGCTTATGCCATTTATTCATGTGATATCTGTTGAACTCACAGTTGTCCATGCACATGATTAGTTTTACATGTGGGTTGGCATGCCATGCCATGTTTCAAGAATTAGTGCATTTTTCAGGAATTATCGTCCTTAAGCAATAGATAGTTATGATTGACAGTTGACTAGTTAGTGCACTATTTTGGTTATTTTTTACTGTTACAAGTTAAAGTTAAGAAGGCTTGCATTGTCCTTAATGTTCTGCAAACCTGATCTTTTAGATTTTTCGTGACTATCTCAGGCATTGATTGTTGAGGTTTTGCAGATGTAAGCATGTAATGAGAAATTAGGTTTTGCTAGATAATTAAGAGTGATATATATAATCACATTATGTAAGACAATAATCATTATACCTTTTCAAATTGTTGTGTTGGGATTCTAACAAGCTGCAATGTTCTTTTTAAATCTAGGACACAAAGTTTCAGTATTTGTGGAACTGCAAAGAGTACCTAGAAAAGGCAAGTTGTTTAATGTTTGTAAGCAAGTTAATCCACATATCTTGCAGCAATTGACCTGTAGAGTACTAAATTTCTTAGCTGATTTGCAATGATATATTGTGGATAAATCCATCAGGCATCTCGGATAATTTTAGCAACAGATGCAGACGGTCCTGGACAAGCTTTAGCTGAAGAGCTAGCACGTCGCCTCGGTAAAGAGAGGTTTGGTTTCTCATTATCATGCTTTATGTGTGCATGTTGATTTGTGCTTGTTCTCCTGTTTGTGTGTATGATTGATGATTATCTATTTGTGTCTACTACGGGTAATGATTAAGTCAGCTTATAAACAAGAAAGTTGCTTTATACCTCTTCAACATTTGGGCAAACACAGGTGTTTGAGGGTCAAATGGCCGGAGAAAAGTGCTAATGAAGTTTGCAAAGATGCTAATGAGGTTTGTTTTGCCTGTTTGAACTGTTGTTTTTCTTCTATACTGACTACTTTCTTCTTTATGTTGTTATTGCTATCTGCAATTTTGTAATGGTAGGGACGTAAGGTCATGTGTTCATTGTAGTTGTTACTTACCATATACAAGACGTGATACAACATACAAAAGTTAGTTTTAACACAATACTGTGTTCCTTTTGGTAAAAATTGAACCCTCAATTTCATCATAATCATTCAAGGAGGCTATAATTTAATGATCAGTAGTTAAACATGATTTGAAAATTCTACAAACAAAAAGTTTTTTCTGAAACATATGCATCATATGAAGGAAAAGATAAGCAGTTTTAATGGCATATAATATATCTTGCTTTGGTGAACAATACAAAAGTGTTAAGCAAGTTGATTTTTCTGTATTGATTTAACACTATTTAGATTAATGTCAACCATTTCAATCATATTAAATTAGTCCAAATCATACACGAATGTTGCACTGTTTAGTTTCATGAACTTACAAAGATACATATCTAAACCAAATAAATCATGGTTTCTAAATTTTCGAATTCTGTAGACTATGCTTAAAGGAACTGACATATGATTTAAAGACACCATGATTGATTTTTGGGTGATAGGATTGAGGTCTCAATTCAAGCTCAACTATCTATATGTACAAATACATGTTTCTATGCATAAATGCATTCCCAGTGCGCATGTGTATTGATTGTATGAACCAATGCTTCACATCTTGGTTCGGTGCTCGGTCCTTTGGTAGACCAAGATAGTTGGTATATCATCTGTTGGTATGATCCAATGTTTGACATTTCGCTCGGACCCGTACAAAACGGGCAGTATGTAATGGTTTGGGTGTGGACCCGTACATAGACCGCCCTCGTTTAGGGTGGTTCGGTCGGAACCACTAAAAGAAAAAAATTAATAAACATGCTTTTGGGTCTATGTTTGCAAGCCCTCCTCAGATGAACGTGAGCCATTTCGCCTCGTGCTTCTGCCCATTATCGGTCGTCGTCCGTCATGCGCCACTGATGAGTATGCTTTTTCTTCCCTTCTCTTCCCCCTTTACACTCTCTCCTTTCTCTTCCTCCATTGTGCCCTCTCCTTCTTCCTCCACCACGTCCTCTCATTCTTCCTCTTTGTTTTCCTCCTTCCTCTTCTTCCTACTTCTTCCTTACTCTTCCTCCTCTTTCTCCCTTGTGCCTTTCTCTTCTCTTTCTTCTTCGTCTTTGAAACACCCGTACACACCGATGTACCATGTGTCGGTGCATCTGTATGTACTGGTCTAGCCAGAGATTGATATGGGTCTAGTATGCAAAATGACAATCCTTGATAAAGAGGGGAGAATTAAGAGAGAGAGAGAGAGAGAGAGAGAGAGTTGTGTAACAACTATCATAAATAAAAGAAAAGGAATCCTAGTTTCTTGGTTGGCCGTTGGATGATAAATAGCAGCAGTATTTTAAACCTTGGTATGAATGCATGTGCATCCATGTGCAAATGAATATATGGACAGAGATATACATGACTTTACACATGAAAATGAATGTATTGATAGAGATATACACTTTACACACCTATATGGATGTCTGCATGTTTGTAACACTTTGATGGTTATACACATCTCTTGTTATATGCATGTATCCAATATCCTTGGAAACAAAATTTAATGGCCATCTTTGTTTGTTGCAAGGTCCATCGTACTGTGGTATACCGCCCGGTACAGGTGATATGTACCGATCCGATAGAGGATTGATATAGGTGGTACATCAGTATGCTCTCATGTACCGTGCAGTGATTTAAAAAGGCGCTCGGGTGCTCGCCTAGGCACTCGGGCGAGGCGAGGCGAGGCCCGAGCGCCCCACTAATCTCCCAGGCGGCACGCTTCAAACAAGTGCCGCCTGGGCGCTCGCCCGAGCCCAGGCGCTGGGTGCTTCGGGCGAGCGCCTGGGTTAACCAAGGCGACCGAACCAGGATTTTAGGTCTGGTTCGGTCTCTGATGGTTAGTTGGTTCAATCGAACCAACTAAAATCGATATAAGTGAGAACCCAACCCTAACCCTCGCCGCTGCCGCTGTCGTGCCCGATCCCGATCCCGATCTCGTTGCTCGCCGTTGTCGTTGCTCGCAAACGCTGCCTCTGTCGCCGCTCGCGCCTCCCGCTGCTCGCCACTCTTGCTCCCGCTACCGCTGCTTGCCACTGTCGCTGCTCACAAACGCTGCCTCTGTCGCTGCTCGCCGCTCCTGCTCCCGATGCCGCTGTCGCTGCTCACAAACGCTGCCTCTGTCGCTGCTCGCAAACGTTGCCGTTGTCGCCACTCGCGCCTCCCGTTGCTCGTCGCTCCCGCTCCTGCTGCCGTTGTCGCTGCTCGCGCCTCCCGCTGCTCGCCGCTTCTGCTCCCGCTGCTCGCCGCTGCCTCCTTACACTCCGCTGCCGCTGCCGCTGTCGCTTCCTCTTTACTCAGTCAGCAGGCTTAGCACCCCCGTACACTTTCTTCTCCTTCTGTTAATAGGATACAGTATACTGTTAACAGTATACTGTATACTGTTAATATTGTTAGGTTTATTTAAAATTATTAATTTTCAATACTATTAATAGATTTTCTTAATTTAATAGCATATTTTAATTTAAAATTTTAAATAATTATATTTATTAATTATATTATATATTTTTATATTTTAGCGTCTCGCTTCGCTCGGGCGTTTTTGGACCTTAGCGCCTTTTAGCGCCTAGCGCTTTTTAAATCACTGATACCGTGTGTCGATACACTTGGTACAGCTCGGTACGTACCATATCGATATCTGATTGGTACATCGGTATGGGCCAGTAAGGCAAACCATGCTTGCTTAGTCATTTTAGCTTGACCTAATACAATGTATTTTTATATATGCACTTTGAGATGCTTATATCGAGATTACTAGTTTTTATTTTCTTTTTACATTATTTAAGATATCAAAGCTGGTTACTTAAAATTTGCAGCATCCATTTTATTTTCAGTAAGGCATTTGTATTTCATGGCACTTTAGGCATCCTATATCCTACTGAAGAAGAGTTTTGATCGATTCATCCATGATTCATTGTTTATTTGAAGTGGGAAGGACTAGGGGTGGGATGCATTGTGTATGCATGCATTTGAATGCATATCCATGTGTTTGGATAACTGTTGTCTGATCCAAAGGGCCCTCTGTGGCCACTTCTATTTTGTGGAATGTGTTCACTTAAAAAACATCATGAGTAATAATAAATTTTTTCTGTATAAGCAAGTAAAAACTTGAATTTGACGTTTTCTCACTTTGTTGTCGAAACTTAGCATGTTACTCTTTCATTCAGGTTCTAATTCATTATGGACCAGATGCTCTAAAGAAAGTTGTTGAGAATTCTGAATTGTATCCTATAAGGGGTCTATTTCAGTTCAGTGATTTCTTCCATGAAGTTGATGCATATTATCACCAGACTCATGGATTTGAGCTTGGTGTTTCTACAGGTTGGAGAGCTTTAGATGAATTGTATAATGTAAGAATTTTACCTTGATGGCGTTTCTTTTTTCGAGAAGACGTGGTAAAGGTTATATTTTAATTTTAAAATCAGATGCTTTATTGTTTACACTGGAAGTTTTGGTTAGGATCAATAGATTCTGCACTATACATGTGAGTAATGTATAACCACAACTCATGTTGATAGTTTATTTATAGATTACCTGCGTATTTTGGTCATCCGAGAATGGTATCCTAATAGATATTTTTAGAGCTTCTCTTTTGTTAAAGACCACATATAATGCATATTATTCAGTTTGCATGAATTGAATTTATAAATGAGTTTTGCTTCCATAAACATGTAGAACTTGACTGTTTCAACTGTTCCCCTTTAAGTTCAACAACAACAATGAGCCACAATGTCCATATTGTTTCACTTTGAGTTGACAATATCAATTTTTAACACTTCTAGTTAGCATGTTTAAGAGAACAAAAAAGCTCTACTGCTCAAAATACTGGTGTATATAGATCGCCATGCCATGTGCCAACCATGTGCAATCATCAAAAGATGGTTACCTTGAGACCAATAAACAAACATATTTCAGTTTTATGGCTATGAGGCCATCAAAAGAAAAAACAAACAACTAAGGTCAAATAATTGTGTTGAAGACTGGGAAAACATAGCAACAGCTGCTCTTGCATATTCTATTTTGTTCTTAGCTTTTCTCTATCACCGCAGAAATGATTGTAGATTACCTTACATTGAGATTGGCTATTTCATGGTTACCTTTGGGTTCATTGAAATGACGCCTATTGTGAATTTTAATATGGTGACTGTAACATGCATCTCATTCTGGGTTTGTGGAAGCAAATGTTTGAAAATGATAGTTCTCAAGTAAAACTGTGTGATGCACAAGGGCCAAATTTGGTCAAAAGGAGGATACTTTTCATGCTAGAAGTAGAATTTCGTGTTAAAAGTAGAATGTCTTATTGAAAAATAAGGAATAAACACAAAGAAATTTGATTAGATTAATTTTTAAAGAGTAAATAAGAAATTACTAAAAAAATATAAGTTACCTGTAAATGCCATTATGTCTTTCTTAAGGGCAGACCTCCAGCAACAAAAGGAATGGAACCATAGGCTCCTATGCTGGGTGCATTTCGGGGTATAGATCTAACCACTTCAGCTCCCCTTTTTCTGGCATGCTATTGTTCTTATAGGCATCCTAGCTTATCATCATTCGATAAGTCTCTAAACTCTGTCAAATCTTATTTTACTGTTTTATATGATAATTGGGTCCATATCGATCATTATTTTAAAGTAAGGTTGTCCATGTGTTTTTTTTAGAAGCTGAAGAAATCTGATTGATGGTTATTAATACCAACTTTGTGTCTATTATCCCGGGAAAGATTTTATCCAAATTTTCTCTTGAATGAGGTTTTTCAGGCCTTGTTTTCCATATCATCCTACATAACATTTATTCGTAAGTCTTTTTTGACATGAACCATCTAATTCTAGTTTGATATTGTCAGTGCTGATTTTCTTTTATTCTACTGTCATTTTGACATCCATTAAAATCTTATCTGATGGTCTTGTTGTTGGCTTTATTATTTTTACTTTCTATACTATTTCTCTGAATTAGCAGGTGGTTGGAGGAATGATTTGATGGTGTCTTTGAAACTTGAGGACTTAATTTCTTTGAAAACTAAGGAATCATTATAGTATGGATTATATAAGACCTTCAAGTTAATTTGTATATTTTGAACAACGATTTTTTCTTGAGCAGGTTATGCCTGGAGAGTTGACTGTAATAACAGGTGTTCCCAATTCTGGCAAAAGTGAGTGGATTGATGCTTTGTTATGTAATATCAATGAAAACGATAAATGGAAATTTGCGCTCTGTTCAATGGAAAACAAGGTCTGATTTGTGAATCATTAAGTTCTATTTATCTTATTGTATCTCGATCATTCAAGATGTTGGTCTTTAGGTTCGAGAACATGCAAGGAAGCTTTTGGAAAAACACATTAGGAAACCCTTCTTCGATGCAAGGTATAATGAAATTTTATGTTGTATCTGTCCCACCGTTAACTTGGATCTATGATACTTGTATCCTTCCTTTTGGATAATTGAAGCATATCTCTATTTCTTAGACTACAACAAGATGGATGTATTGTTTGCTTTTGTTTTGTTGGGGCAATTTCATTTGTTCTCTTTATTTGAGCTTTTGGTTAAACTTACACATTATTAGGGCATGCATCAGAATTCGGACTGCAGTCCATTTGGACCGGGACCTTATGTTCACAGATTCCATATGATTTGAAAGACTTTGATTAATATTGTTGCATATGGGCTTAAAGCTAATCTAAAAAGTCAAGTTGAATAAATAGTCTCATTGCCATAGTTGGGACAAGATTATGCAGATTTGAAGGCCAATTTAATCCACCCTAGTTACTGTATACAAAAAGCATTCACCTGATGAATTCAAGGCATCATTTTGAAGTGAATAAATCTTGTTGACAAAAGTTGTCAACACTGCCTATAATGTGTTTGACCGTTTTGTTTTACATGCATATAAGTTATTATATCGTTGCTTTGTCATGTCCTTAGCTAGGATTCTCTAAAAGGCGTGTTGTACTCAAGTAATATTCGTCTGCAAGGGTAAGCACAGAGAAGAGAAGGTTAAAAAGGTGAATGCACAATTAATATGCCATCATCGCACACAAAAAGTGCAGAATGTCTTTACCTCTCTGTTGCTTATCCTAAAGTTGTCCCGTACTTTTTGGAAGGCAAACAATTTGCTTATGCTGGCCACAGAGGGAAATTCAGCATGCATTCTAGAGGTCAAAACAACCGTAAGCATCAAATTTAAATGCTGGTCATCTCCCATCGGAACTGGGCCATGATTAACTTTGTTCTTTGTTGGCATAACTCTGCTGCTTTTAATAATTAATTGTTGGTAATTTAATTAAAGCATTGACCTGCGTGACACTTCTACTTTGGCTGCTGTCTCATGATGTTCTCCTTCATAAATGGCCCAAAATTGAATAATATAGTTGGTGAAAAGCATCGACCTTCCTGAGTTTCCAATGTTTGCAGATATTCAGAATATTAGTTTCAGAAAATGTTTTTCTTTTTTTATTTTATTTCTGTATGTGCATGTATTTTGGTTGTTGGGGTAGTAGGTTGATGGTTTCCCGTGTGAGAAGAACAAGGAAAAAGAGATCACTTGGAACATACTCATGTTGATATTAATGTAGTGCATGCACTTATCTTTCTTTGCATGTTTTGGTTTTCTTTCTTCATTTTTAGTTGAACCTCTATATGTTCTTTATCTCATCTAATATTTTAGCAAACTTTAGATGATTGAAGTCAAATTTTGGTTTAACTCATCAATCAGACACCTTACTACATCTTTCTTAATGATCTTTCATGTTTCAATCTTGCATTCAGTATTTTTGATTTACTATTGTGAAACTGTGCTTATATAAGTTTTTCCTTGGACATAAGCTGCTCTTTTAATAGCTTTTTTCTGCTGAATATGGAGTTGTTCAGTATTGTCTCCTTTGGTATTTACTTGGTTGTTAGTTCTTAAGGTTCTTTAATTTACTGTTCCTAAGTAATTCCTTCTTTTGACTATGCTAAGCTATGGTGGATCTACTGAGCGCATGACCGTTCAGGAGTTAGAACAAGGAAAAAAATGGCTCAATGATACTTTTCACCTGATTCGGTGAGTTTCTACACTGAAACATGTACAACTTGCCAGACAAATTTAGTTATTTATATTCATCCATGACGCAAAAGGAACTCCATGACTTTATCCTTTTGTATAGTTACCGTGTCAAGGTGTGACTTGTTGCTGATGTTTATTTCTTACTGATTGATTGTTTTTTTGTTATCATGGTAGGTGCGAGGATGATTGTCTTCCATCGATCAAGTGGGTGCTTCGACTTGCTAAAGCTGCTGTTCTTCGATATGGTGTCCGTGGACTTGTTATTGATCCATACAATGAGCTTGATCACCAACGTCCTCCAAATCAGTGAGCATCTTTGTAGTAGTACTAAATTATTTTTGTTTGCTTTCTCATGTCTGAGTTTTTTCGTTCTTTTAAATTATTTGATGCGGCCGGGCATTATATATATGTTTCCAGGCTTCAAGTGATTGCCATTAATAGCTGTAAACAATATATTCTTTTTGTTTGAACTTTGAAGTAGCTCACTCATTCCATCTGGAGCTAGTCTATTCAATTCTGTATTTTCTGTAACAGAACTGAAACAGAGTATGTGAGCCAAATGCTTTCTATGATCAAGCGCTTTGCCCAGCACTACTCCTGTCATGTATGGTTTGTAGCCCATCCAAGACAGGTATATGTTCCGATGTACAATATTATGTTGTTCAATGTATATGCTATTGTCTTCTGAAAGCAAACATTTGTTCAGCTACAACACTGGACGGGTGGTCCACCTAATATGTATGATATCAGTGGAAGCGCTCATTTTATAAACAAATGTGACAATGGAATTGTCATTCATCGCAATCGAGATGCAAAAGTTGGCCCTCTTGATGGTGTTCAGGTTCACTTTTCACTGTTCTTGATTTACTTCTCTGTAGTTCCTTATTTACTTCAAAATTTGATTCATGTGTTGTTTATATACATATATACATGTTCAGGTTTGTGTTCGGAAGGTACGAAATAAGGTCGTTGGGACTATTGGAGATGCTTTTCTGTCATACAATAGGTATATAATTTGTTGATCCGTGCAATTTCTAACATGCCTAATAAGCATTTATTGCTTGCTTTGTGTTCAATTAAGTTTATTAAATTCCTTATGCCAATTTTTGATGTTTTATATTGATTAAATAATAACAATAATTTCTTTTATCATAGGAAGGTCCATAATTGTTTGTCAACTTCTTTTTTTCTTCAATATTGTTCTTTAACATAATGTCACCAACTGAAGGTTTGCTGGCCTTGGAGCTCATGCACATGATAGACCTTGATAGGTTTCCTAATTCACCACATGCTTTTTATTTCCCCTACTGGACCAGCTGATAAGTTTTGTTGACTATATTTGGTCATGTTTTGTGTGACTTTTAAGTTGTATAACTTAATGGAACTTATAAATATTATAAATCATAGTCAAGAGCTGTAGACAGTCATTGTTTGGTGTGACTATATGTTCTTTTTTATTGTCAAATTTAATTGGTCATGTCATCTCAATGGACTAGTTGAAGAAACCAGAGGTATATGCAGTAGGTCTTTTGGAACAAGCTATAAACAAAATGATTCATGTGGTTGAACCTGAGATGATAGAAATAACATTTTATGGTCACTGCTGAAGATAAGTAGTCATTTTTTCAAAAAAAAATCTCTCTTGCATGATTTTTCCCCTCCAATCCTAGATTATTTAGGCATACTGTCATTTCCAACAGGTGTTGAGTTCTATTCATGCTATCAGCATTCTGTTGTGGAAAAGTTGAATGAAACTCGTCATTTGGCTTGTTGAGATTTAGCATTTTCGCAGAATGCATGCCCATGTTACATGCACTCGGATAATTGAGGTTGTGTTGGATGTGGCAAAAGGGGGCTCAGGTTAGGGATTGGGTTGGGTTTTGCTTGGGGTAAAAATAGGTTGGGTTTGGGTAGGCTTTGATTGGGTTAAGACTAAGCATGTGTCAACCCGCCCCGCCCCAACCTGCTTGAGTTGCACCACTGTTAAAGAACATCAGAGAAAAAAGAAGAAAAGAAACTTTTAGTGACACTAAATACCATATCAGATATGCTGTTAAGTTCAAACTAAGCCTTACATATTACAACATTTATCACCAACAGGCAAGCAAATTAACCTTCACCATTGCAGAAACGTGAGCAAATTAACTTTCACCAGTTTCGGAAGACTTAAATTATCGCCACAACTATCAAAATATCAACACAAGACATTAAGCAAATTAACAATAGAATGTTTAGGTAACAACATAGTCCAAAATAGTTACAACCAGTCCATCATTATCTAGCATAAATAAAATTATTTGGACTGAGGCGACTTTAGTGGTAATGAATTGAGCTCGTATATAATATTTATACATTTAATTAGCTAAGCTGGGTCAGCTAGCCCAGCCTTGGAACCTGTGCTTAACCCAGATTTAGTTGGGTTGAAATTTCCTTGAATGGAACCAAGCCCCAGACCATAAGTATTTTTGTGCAAGTCTGGTCCAGTATCAGGTTGTGTTCAGGTCAAATCTGGGGGGACCCATCCAAATTGCATTCCTAGCTATCTACAATGCAATTGTTTCCTGCCTGGTGGTTGCCTTGAGTAAGCTTGTTGCACTTGGTTACCTTCACGCTTAAATGTAAAAGGTTTGGAGTTCATGCAATTATACTGTATGTGATGCAATTTCTAAATTAAGTTCCAACACCTACAACTATGACCATTGATGTCTTGTAGATTTTTGCCCTGCAAAATTTCAAATTGAGAATAATGGTGATAGCGAATTGCATCGAGCTGGATTCTATGCTCATTGGTTTTAGACCATGGGTGGTGGTGGTACCAGATATCTACATTGCATTGAGCTGAAAGCTGTGCTCATTTTGTTGGACTAACATGTGATTGGAAGCAAGTATACTTAGAATAAAAAAAATAAAAAATAAAGAACTATACTTAAAATTCTTCCTGTACCTAAGGTTCCATTTTTTCCATTTTCTGACACAACAGAAACTTACAAACTTTTTCAGAGTTTTAACCTTAAATTTGAGCAATACTGGAGATACTAACTGCACTGCCACATTATTTTGCAGGATTACAGGAGAATTCGAGGACATAGATGTTAGGGCTATATCCATGAGTATAACGAGAGGTGGATGAGATTTTGCAACTGCAGTATGCTTATGGACTTGTTGGAAATGATGAAAATCTATGGGCAAATGGACCAAATTTGGAGGTCTAACTTACAACTAAAGCAGCAGCGCACAACAAAAATTTCTGAATACCAAGCTACAACCGAGGAGGATTGAAGCATGTGATGGTTGAATGAACAATCGCTTGGAGATCAGGTCAAATTTTGTTCAGTGGTAAAACATTTGAAGGCTGTTTGTAAGGTGCATCTCTTTGAATAGTCTGATATAGTTTCTGAATTCTCAGCCTTTTTTTGTTTTGGGTTAGATGCCTTGAGGGGTTTCATCTTCATCTATTCCTGGTCTCAGATCCATGTGTATCCTGTGATGATTAATGTTTTCTGCTTTAGTTGATGCCTTTTATGTTTCCTGCTTCACAGATCAGAGGAATTATATGCAATTTTAACTGAGACATGTCCACACTATAAAATTAGAGAAAAAAGGCAGAATGATCTGTTCTTGATCAAATCTCAAAGCGTAATTAGTTTGACACCCACCCGCGTTTGAAGATGCAAATGTATATATTTCCAAGGGAGAAATGGCAGGATGGGTTAATTAGTTTATCAAATTTATTTGATTTTAATCATTGGTTAAAATATTTAGATTAAAAATTATCAATTTTGTTGGTTTTTAATAACTGGTTAAAATATTTAGGTTAAAATTAATAGTAATATATTCAAGATTCTTATAAATCAATTTTAGGTTATAGGATTATTCATTCTTGTTCCAGATCTCGATCCTCCTGTCTGTTTCGTAAAATAAATCCAGGCTTATGAGAATAGTCAAAAGCTGTGCGAGATCGACGTTTCTGGAGATACGAAGATGTGTGTTTCTCCATTGGCCACTATAGATTTCAAAAGCTTTGCTTTGTTACCACGACAACTATATCCCGGATTTGTCTATCAACATAATCAGAAAGTATGTATCAACAGTATACAAATAAATAAATAAATTAATTAAGAAGATCTTGGAAAATTATTTGTTTTCCAACTCGGGGTGGGATCGAAACTGTGGAGTAACCAAACCATTGGCAAATTGTCAACTCGTTGTTTCTACAATTGGCAAATTGTCAGTAGCCGAGCCGAGTTGGGTTCGGTCTGGTTTGGGATAGACGGTTTCGGCTCACACCGTGAACTTCCGACACCCACGCACCGGTCGTTAATGGTGCAATAGAAATGCACATGCAAAACCACCCATTGCTTTTGCCACACTACTAAGGGGGGCCCAAAGCTCGGTTTTTTAAGTCGATGCTCGAGAAAGGATGGTGAGATCTGTAGCAGGCGAAGCAATCCGTCGAGCTCCTCATCCGATGGCAACGATATCACGGACGAAGCTAAGCTATTAACAACGTATTTCATATAATACTTATAATATATTTGTGTGTGTCCGAGAGCTTGTAATAAGTTCGATAGTCTTATTTTAGTTAATTTTTATAGTTATTTTAGAATTATAAAAATAAATTATATGTAATCGTCATGTAGAGGCAAAATCGTCTAGAAATATTTTGAGGGTTTTTTAGCTTCGTCGAGTGATATTGAGTGTCAACTAACAGAACACTCAAGAGCTAGCTGTGTGGCACATGATTAGATGGGCCTTTGGGATAGTGTCTATGGCTGATTCGTTGGCTTGTTTAACACAAGTGTCATGTGGACACTTGTGGGGATTTTTGATCACGATGGACCTCATTGGTTCACTTATCGTACGACTGTTTAAAGTTTACAATGTCTATATTTATAATTAGCATTGCTTATCATGTGTTTGTTGAAATGACTGCTTGTGGATCCCGAATTAAATATTTTCTTTAACTCGTCTTCTCTTTTGTAAGTCCTTAAGAGACTATAAGAGGTTTTGGAAATGTTAACCCTTTGTGGACGGACATGTAAAAGTGTTTCATAACTTAGGTAAAACCAGTTAAGTCCATAACATATAGTATCAGGGCAAGATGAGCACATTTAGAAACACTTAGCATACAAACATGGGGGGATTTAGTAGGGTTACATTGAGGGCAGCTTGCATGCACAATTATTTAGTGGAAATGAGCATTGAGATATAAGGAAAGGAGTTGGTCAGAGGAACCAGCATTCGAGATTGATATTCAAAAGAATAGCCAACCCTTTATGTAAGAGGCACCACGAGGACAAGCGAGTTAGGAAAATTATGTAGCACATAAGGTTGGGATGACTAAGTTCGAGTTACGACTCGAAGTTGGCAACTAAACTTTGACGAAGCTTAAGACAAGTGAGATGCTTGGGAAAGGATGAGATCATGCTCAAGGCAACTTGAATGTAGACGATAGACCCTCCTTGGCCATCCTATGACGACCAAAACTCGATGCTATAAAGTATTAAAACTTTCTCTTCGACATGAGAATGATACATCCATTGGAAGCTAAAGTATGCAGTGAGTTCAACATATTACTAGGCCTTGAGAGGTGCAATAAGGGTTGTATTAATAAAGAGTTACAATCTAGCAAGTGTGTTTACGAGGATAGAATATTGCATAGTTTGTTCGGCAAGGCAAAATAATCCAAAGGGATAGTGGTATCTGAAACTTCCAGAGGGAAGGATGTGAAGAGAGAAGTTGCTCCAATATGACATATATCCAAAAGGGATAAGTTCTGGTTCTCGAGAGAGAGAATCATGTGCAACGAACCGTACAGGTTGAGGAGAAATACTTTAAGACAACAACTCCACAAAGCTCAATGGATTGAATGAGCGATGAGGAGTCACCAAATGATCTCACATGGGGTAATGCGTTGGTGGAGACATATTATGAGATCAAGTGTCACATGCGATGATGAGGAGCGACCCAAGGTAACACCAAACGAAGGCATACTTAGAGTCAATGCAAAGATTGAACTCAATAGAGAGATGACCCGTAGAATGATGGGCGTGAGGGCTATCATCAACTCAATACAAATCAAGGAGCATAATAACTCCTACATGTTAGGATCGGAGTGGCACTAAGAGGGGGGGGTGAATTAGTGCAGCGGTGAAGTGCGATAAACTTTTCACGATTTAAACACTTTTCGAAAACTTCGTACGATAAAAGCAACGTTTTTGTTTAAAAAAGTTTCGATTGCATTTTAACTTGAAGAGATAAGTAAGACGGAGACAAAGCAGTATAGCATTAAAGTGCAAATGGTTTGCAGTAATATAAATGACAATAAGTAAATGCAAACCAGAGATTACGCCGATTTTACAGTGGTTCGGTCAAATGACCTACATCCACTTGCGAGGCCCCTCTTCGATGAGGCTCCCACCTTCCACTAGCAAATCTCTTGAAAGGGAAGGGTAAATACCCCTCTTACAACTTTTACAAGCGGTTCACTCTCTTACAGATTTTCAGCAAGAAAGAAGGAGGTGAACACTAGCAAATTGAAAACAAGACTAGCAAAAACTCTTCTAAGACTTTTCTCTCAATCACTTGCTGCTCAAAAAGTTGTTTACTCAGCTGAGACTTGAGAGGTATTTATAGGCCTCAAGAGGATTCAAATTTGGGCTCCAAAAATTTGAATTCTCTTATGTTCCCGATGCTGGCGGTGCCACCGCCCAGCGCTCGGGTGCTAGGCGGTGCAATCGCCCAGCCCAGGAGGTGTCACCGCCCAGCTCTCGGGTGCTGGGCGGTGCTACTGCCCAGCCTAGGCGGTGCCACCACCTAAGCCAAATCAACTCACTGGTTGGGCTCCAAACTTGGCCCAAACCAGTCCGAACTCGGGCCCAATTGGCCCCTACTTGGGTTATAGGATTAACACCTAATTCTAACCCTAATTAACGTGCTAACTACGAATTTAAAGACATTTTCTAAGCTATTACAAAGTTCGTAAGTCAATACTTCTTCCGGCGAGCTTCCGACGAACTTCCAGCGGTCTTCCGATAAACTCTCGGAAACCATTCTGCGGACTCCCGGCAAGCTCCTAGACTTCACGATTTGATCTTGGCGAGTTCCGATGAGCTTCTTCGGCAAGCTCCGATCTTTCTCGGCGAGCTCTGCGAACTTCTAACGAACCTTCCGGCGAGCTTCCGAAAAACCCTTCGGCAAGCTCCCTACTCATTCTTGGCTAGTTCCGGCAGTATTCCCGACGAACCTTCGGACTTCCGTCGAACTCTCGAACTCGCAATGAATCCTTCGTGCTTGACTCCGACACTTTGTTTTGCTTTATGTCTTCATCGTTATCGTAGTTAATCCTGCACACACAAGCAAAAACTCTATTCAGATCTAGACAATTATTATAAAGCGAATTGACATTTTGTTGCCCGGCACGTCATTGGTTGGCGCTTCGTCCGATTCTTCGGCGCATCGTCCTCTCTTGCGGCTTGTTGCCCAATCAGCGGTTGACCTCCGCAACGCCGATATCCTTGGCGCAATTCCGCTCTTGGCCCGATGCCCGACGTCCGAAGCCTTCTGCTATCTAATTTCCTAACGTGATCTCCTCCGACACAACGTCAATTCCTCCTGCCTTAATTGTCTAATCCTGATCGAGTAGACCTGCATCACTCAAAATGCAGTTAAACATAAACATAATTATCAATTGGTTTCATCATCAAAATACGAGATTCAACACTACAAAGGCAAGAGTGGGTTCATGTCATTCCATAAGTCTCTCATTCTGATGCAGTGGACTCAACTTACATGGTGCCAAAGTCGAAGGGAGCTTCAAGGCACATACACCTTATCTCAACAAAGCATTTGATAGAGGAACTAAGGCAACACAACTTACGGAAGTAAACTTGGGATTATAAGGCCTTGGCATGAGGCAAGAGGACATGGAGGCAAGTACTCTTAAAGATTATGCAGTGGTGCTATCACTTGAGTTACAGTGAAGGAAGTGGTGCACTATGGAGATTCTATTAGAGGGTAGAGGCCTAGAATCCAAATAATGGTACACCAACTTTAGCGAAATTGGTGGACTTCAAGCTGCTAGGTGATGGATTGTCCTAGAGCCATGTTTCATCCAAGTATGACCCGAGAGCAGGTGGACGAAGGTCGAATGTCAAAGGAACGAACACAATTGGAGGAGGTGGAGGCCTTGCGATGTGCTGGCAGAGGCCACAGATAAAGAGATCGTAGTCCGAGTTTATATCACAAAGATCAGAATACAATAGAGATATTACTAGGAGATAACATAAAACAACGGATCATGGTAGAACGATTCAAGACAATACGACACACGTGAGAGGTCTCGCGAAGGACTTGATCATGCAGAGGTACAATCGGGAGCTACTAGGAGCTATAGTTCAGTGAACAACATGACGATAAGAACTACTATGGATTCAAGGAACAAATGCTATGGTACCGCAGAGACGAGTCTTCCATGCGTATATCAAATTTTAAATCGAATGAAAGTCTTGCTTATCAATATATGAGGGTTGTGTACTACTGAGAAGAAATTTCAAGTGCAAGTACTAGTGAGTCCCATAGGGGGACTTAATCATATAGAGGTATGATCGGAGCGATTGAAGAGTTGGACTACTCCAAAGCTTATATTCATTTGAAGGAGCTCAACAAGTCAAAGGATAAAGCCGAGTAAGTAAACGTTGCTACGAAGGAAGCAAAAGAGAATAGAATTGGCGTGAGCCTTATAATATGATGGTGGAGGCCATGCATTGGAGTTGTAATTTATCTTTTCATCGACCAAGGGAGATTGCTCAGAGAACACATAGATGCAAGGTGAATCTATCGATCGTAAAGAAAGGAACATAGATGCAAAGTGACGGATAGTAGGGTCATGGGTATGGCAACGCTATAGTGTCGTAAAGGCGAAACTTCTATAGAGTCATCAATCCCTTTCTCTTATGGAGAGATAGTGTTTGGTCGTGAATGAGATCGAGAAGATAGAGATAATAAAAAAAGATAGTACAAATCCCAAAGGCAACCGAAATGATTGGAGATTTACTTCAAATTAGGATAAAATTTTACTTTTTTTAGGTAAAACTTCTTGTATTCTAAAAAGTTCAATGACAATGAAGAGATGAATTGCAATAGCTAATTCAATGTAAGGAGTACAAATACTTCGGGTACTTCGGAAGTGTGAGCAAAGAATAGGTGAAGACTAGTAACCAGCTCGATGCATGAAGTATAACCCTCGAAGAGGTGGACAAAATCGAATAACCTTTGCATTCTCAACTCCTAAAAGAATAAACGAAACTAAGTACCTTGGTTCTCTCATTTAATCTAGTAAAGAAGCTATGCAATGGTTCAAAAACCCTTCAAAAAAAACTTAGTAGAAGACAACAACCGTCAACTCCTCATCAATAGTGATCGTGCTATTGAGAGTAAACTATCTACTTTATTTCCCAACAGAATACCAATTGAACGTAAAATCATTGTAAACCTACTTGGAGGCAATAACTACGTAGAAGAGGAATCAATAAACAAATTTTACAAAGAAAAAACCTCAAAAACTTTAAAATCTAGGAGGTAATAATCATTAAAGCTTTAACATACATCCACCCAATTTAAGCGACATTAGATGTTTGAGAGACTGATACATAACAAAGATGATCTTTTTTCTTCATTTGAAGGATTCGTAGGAGCTAACAAGGTTTAGCACAACTCGATCGACCCGACACCAAAATCAGAGTTATTGGCGAGTTGAAATATCATGATGGATCAAAGGTCGACTACTCAATAATAGCAGTAGAGAGTAGTTGGGAGCGAAGAAACACATTACAACTGAAGCTACAACATTTGTGAGAAGACACAACATTTGTAAAGGCTTCGATAAAGATGTCAAAAGAATAAGTAGAGGAGAATGTCATGAACAAAACTGTGAATATGATGTTCGATATAATGCTCGTGTATGTCCATATCTTTTGATTTTATTCATGCTTAATACAACATATAGAGGGCTTAAAATAGGCTTGACAACCCTATTTTGATTGACTTTTGTGATCATTTTGATTGACAACCATATTTTTATTGACTTTTAATAATCATATGTTACTCGAGTGACATATGACTAGATATACCTTTAAAACGTCTAATTCATTATATTATTTTGTAATAATATCATGCAGGCACTTGTGAAGAATTTTGATCATGACAAATCACCTTGGATCCTTTATCATACGACTATTAAAAGTTTACAAAGTCTATGCTTCCAATTTACAATACCTATTATATATTTATCAAAATGATTAATCTCAAGTTAAAAGAATTCTTTAATCTATTTTTTTTCTTTTATAGATCCTTAAAATACTACAAGAGATTTCGAGAAACTGATCCTTGTAAACCAGCACTGTCTTCGAAGAACCAGACTATCATTTCCCCATGATTCATTGTATTGCATATACGGATTGCATGCCAACCACACTGCTGCTGCTGCACAAGGATTCCACAAGTAGAATTAACCTAAGTGGAATGCTATCACAAACTATAACAACCACCACCCCCCGCTAGCATCTCGACACTAGCCATCAATGTCTTCCCATTACAAGATCCAAATTGTCTACTCCACAATCAAATTAAAATCATTTTAAATGGATTACATTAAGATGGAACACCCTACTTGGAACAAGAGGAAGATCTTCTATGAACCCAGTCAAACTGTTTAGCAACATTAACTGCCACTTTAACATCCAACTCATATCATTAAGTTTAACCAATAAAATGGTCTACCATCACCATTTGCACCTGCCCACTGCCGCGACAAAAAACTCAACCAGGCTTCCAAAGTCCGTCACCACCGACTTCACCACTGCATCATTCAAAATGAAACTGCTGCTTGATGATGATAAAGTCCTAAAATCGCAAGAGACTTCACTTACTTCCAGCACTGGGGAATACTAGAATGTCATACGGCCAGCAAGCCGTCTCTCAGATATTCTTCTGTCTATAGCTGCATCGATGGAGCTCATCTGTTTTAACACACAACAAGAACAAATAAATCAGACCGACGGAAATGGTCATCCAGAAGATTATTGCTACTCTTCATGCTTAATTATCTAACTGCACAAGAGGAAGCAAACTTGCTTCTGAATGAAAGCTGACCTGCATCAACTCTGGTCCCACACTGATCAAAAACAGATAACAACAAATGCTACGTATTGACAAAAGCCTGCTGGCATATATTCTCGTTCCACCCAAGCCCCACGCTCATTAAGAAGCAATAGGGAGAATGAATACCATATAAAAGAAACTCAAAACTTAATCAGAACACAATACATACATTTTTGCATGGTCCTGGTGCTAGGTTGAGAACCCTCGAGTCATTTGCAGCACAAACTTGTCAGATTTGTAACACTAACTAACAGCAAAAATAATGTAAATACCTACTTGGAATCGTTTGATGCCCCACTAAAAATGAGACGATGGGAATGAAGAAGAATATCCTTTTTCCCATCAACCAGTGTCATAACTACAAATTAATTAGATAAAAGGCCTAGTAGTAAAACTCAGAAGAGCCACAAATGCAATTATTCCATAATAGACTGTATTATCAAGATTCAGATGGAGTTATCAAATGTAAAGTACATTAAAGTATAGCCCAAAAAATCTGCAAGGATTTCTTTCTTTTTCCCCTACCTATTTGGATTCGCAACCAAGTTGCATATCCATTAGAATGAGTAAACAAAAGGTAGTAATAACTTACCTGGCTAGTTTCATCATGCACCTGATACTTTGCTAGAGACATTCTTCTTTCCTCCTGCATGATAATCCCATGTTAAGGAGCCATGTAGAATCAAGGAGAAAGTATTTAGTAACAAAATGTGAAGAAAAGGTCCAAAAAAAGAATGTTGGAATTAGAAAACATACCATTGACATTGCTTCATCATCCCATAACAAGTAGACCTCATTTGTGGTAGGATTAGAAGGAGGTGGTTTGTTGGATATTACAGGTGGAGGTCCAATTGAAGGATTCTCAGTGTTTGGACCAGATGCATACATATGTGAGTTTGCATATGGCGTACCACCTAAAAATGATTGACGAAGTATTTACAGAGTCTAAGATATGATGTTAGCCTGAAATAATTTTAAAGAATCTCGGAGTTGATATACATTCAATATATCAACCTAAGCTTTTCTGTTCTAGCTAAGATGTTCATATACACAATATACAGAAGAAATGGAAACAAGATGCAAAATTGATGAGAATTTATAATGGATGCAAGTTTTAGCAGTGCAATTCGATCTGGCTGGCATAGATTAAAGGACTAACATCAATGGAAAATAGTTTAATCAGTGGAGAAGCTGTAAACTACTCCATAAATTTATCTTCCTTTTAACTATTTGTTCCTCTTGCAATGATAAGAACATAACCATTCATTCCATAATCAGATGAGCAAAAGAAACGATATCGAGGAATCCAAGCTAAAAGGAAATCTAGGACTGCGGTACTAAAAGATGATAATCAATTAGTTTGACAAAGGCAACTATACATTTAAAGTAGTAACTCCAACAATGAGCTAAAAGACTAGTATATCTAGGCTCCAAATAATTTGCCTCAACTTCAGTGTCTAGAGATGTAACATTTTGTCACTACAAGTTTTTCAATTCATCTTAACAGGAACTACCAAGTACTGGTTTAAAATTGTGCAGGTTGTTTTCCCTTGCCAATGGTACAGAACTGGATGCAGACCCTTAAATTTAAACAAAGACTACGGAGTTCCACATCATTCAAGACTCGGTGAAGAATAGGTTAGATATATTAAATGTGTCCTCATGAGAAGGAAGCCTTAAATTTGAAAGGGTCTCAATCTGATGTGGATGACAAATCATCTGAAGCTCGAGAGATACTCCTGGTGTTTTCCATTTTTACTACTACTACAAATTTTTTGACTGTCTTACTTCACCGCAAGAATATGCGTCTATTTGCTAATACAAAGCAAAATTTTTTTAATGGTTTAACATATACGTTTTAGTTAGAGTCTCATTCATAATAAAGATAATTCTAACTTCTCAACCTCAATGCAAATTCTAGACAGATGAGCTATATGCAGAAGCTAATTCAAATGCAAATGAAGTTTCTTCTTTAGAATTCAGTTGACTATCCCTAAACCTTCTTTTTTTAAAAAGAAAGTAAATATATTGCTTCAAAATTCTGTTACAGCCCACCCTTTGCACATCAAAATGCAAGAGTGAACTCAGTCCTTGCACAACATGCTATTTTAGGTATTTGTCCAAATGCAAGTCACCTAATAGACATTTTGGCAAGGATGGCTGAAGCAAATCATCTTATGTCCCAACCTCATATTCACTAAAACCATTAACGAAATTTACATAAATCTTTTCCCAGAGAAAACAATATCAGTCGGTAACCTTACTGGTGATGAACCAGCAAGTACCAAAATTGCATCTAAATTATCAAAGTTTGGATTGTGCAACTTTAGTACCAAAACCTTATGATCAGAGAATTATTTCAAACAAAAGGATTAAACATACTAAAAAGGTTTCGAGGAGACATTTAGTTGGTTACACTGGAGTGCGCACAGCTAAAAGATCATGACTTCGAGTCTTGCTGTATGTGCCAAGTATGCATATTATGTAATAGTTGAGTGGCATACCAAGATATCATAACAAACTCCAACTCAAAAGTCACATATTTTCCTAATAGAATAATTTCAAACAAAATTGTAAGATTAATTAATAGGATATAGTGTATGCTTGCAGAATACTTGATAAACAAAAATGAAGCAACAAAGAATTCAGTTGCTGAGGTAAAGGTCATCACAAGTCATTTAACAAAACAATGTTGCTACTTCATATAAGGAGACATCAAGATAACATAATAAATAAGGTAAAAAAACAATCTAGGTGTTATACATATCATTTATCATTAAGAAATTATTTTATTTTTGTGCAAAGGGTAAGTGACGAAGGTGGGATTCGAGCCAAGACCTTGCAAAAAACTATCAAGATCTTTACTGGCTAAAATAGTTGACACCGTTGAAATTACTTTTATTGCTACTGCTGAGAAAATATTTAGAAAAAATATATAAAAATAATTAGGTCCATCTGCATTTTAGGGCAATATTTTAACATGTAGCACATCTTTCAATTCCCGTCATGTGTAATTAAATAATTTGATCTTATTTATGAAAGAATATAGATAAGTAATCAAACATTATGAAACTCAAAAGTCAAAACTAAAATGTGAAAAATAAAACTCTGGAATGTTAGGAGCCACATTACTACTTGCTACAGCAGTATTTGATACAGAATTGCATCAGCTATACCTTTCAACATTGTTGGGGAGCTTGATGAAATGATTGCAAGTGAAGATGTTGTCAAAAATGGAGACCTCTGAGCAGGTGCACCAGCTGGACTGTGGATTGGAAATAGTGGTTGGGATACTGCAGGTGGTGCAGATGAGGGCAGGCCAGGTGGACCAGCTTGAAGTGGTGATTGAAGTCCAGGGGCAGAAGTGGAGGTCATAGGAGCCGTAACATTCTGGACAGGAAATAATGGCTGTTGTGGTGCCACAATAGGTGGAGGTACTGAAACAGCCAATGGCGGTCGAAACCAAGGCTGTGGTTGAGCAGCTGGAAGAGGCCATGTTGGAGGCATCACTGGAATTGTGGGATTGTATCTGATTAAAAAGATACAGAGCATGTGAGAGGATGTACTATACGAAAATAAACACAGGTGATTCAAAGTGAATTTATTAAAAAGAACAAAAATCTTAAGATTATAACACTTCTCCATTTAACCAGCAAAGTAACAAGGATGTACACTGGTGGAACTGAACCATATAATGTTGGGGGAGGGAATCTGATGCCCAGTGGACCAGGAACCACTCCACCAACGAGCCCAGTGGATGGAACTTCCAGTTTAGCTGCCTTTACTGATACCTCTTCATCTGCATCAGAATGTCATAAAGAATTACTGAGAAAACATTGAATGACACCACAATTTCGAGAATGCACCCTGGTTTCTGAGGAAGATTACTAGTGTCTATTTCCTGTTTCTTGGACAAGGTCAATAATGTCAAATGTAGTTTCTTGTATAGGAAGTACAATAGTGACACTCATATCATAGCAAAGTATCTTAAAGTTAAATGTATTTCCTGTAATTAGCAAGCTACAGCTTCCAGTCTCCGCTCAGCATTATGTATCTTGCTGTTTGATCCTTAATAAAATATTTTTTTGTTCAAAAAACTAAAACCAAGCTTATCAAACTCAGCCTCTGAATTTGGGCTGTAGGATTGTGCGTTCTTACAATCCACATCAAGCCCCGGGAGTTGGGAGTTGACTCGACTTCTGAATCGTAAACCCAATGGAATCGGGTTGACTCATGAGTCAACTCGATACAGTCGGCTGACCCATCCGAGTTGACTCATATTTACTAAGTTGATTCAACTTTTCATTTAAAAGATTAAAAAAAGAAAAAGAAGCAAAGGTGCGTGCACGAGAAGACAAAGGGACGAGCGACGAGCAAGGCCTATACTGTTCGCTGCTCCCACTGCCAACATCATTGCCCGAGCCACCTCCTCTCAGCTGCTACTTCAAGCTGCCACCTCATGTCATCTCGTTAGCACTGTTCTCTCCTCTCATCTCCTTCCCTCTCTTGTCTGTTCTCTTCCCCTCTCTTCTCCTCCCATCTCCTATTCTTTCCTCTCCTCCCCTTTGTTATACTCTCCACTCTTTCCCAGTTTCCCTGTCCTATTTTAGCCCCTCCTCCCCTCTTTTCTCATCCCAACTCCTTCCCTCTCGTGTCTCTTGTCTTCCCTTCTCTTCTCCTAATACCCTCTCTTCTTTCCTCTCCTCCCCTCTATTGTGATCTCCATTCTTCCCTGCCTTACCTTATCCTCTAGCCCCCTCTCTACTCTACCCATCTCCTCCCCCCTCTCACATGATCTCCTCTCTTCCCTTCTCCTCCCCTCTACCGTGATCTCCTCACTTCCTCTCTCCTATTCTGTTCTCTCCTCCCCTCTCTTATTTCTCAGGTATCCAGATTTATTTGTGAAGAAAAAAGTTATAATTATACATGATTAACCAACAATTCTTTGCATTCAATTGTTCAGACCTTGATTCATGTGGATGGATGTTGAATAAATGCAAAATTAGAATAATATTTTATTTTTTCTGAATGTGTATTTCATTTTCTTAAATTTTTCAAGAAATGTTCTTTGGTAGAAACCATCATGCAGGAGCTCTCATCAATGAAGAAAAGGTTTTCTTTCTTCGTTCAATATGTAAAGTAGATACATGATATGAATTGCAGTCATTATTTGTTGTTTATGATTACAACATAGGAAGTAAGAAAAGAGAATTTTCTTTTATCTAGTGACTTGTTATTTGTTAGTATTTGTCAGTTTGTCCAGCACACTATTGTATGGTACAACAACTAGATTGATAATTCTAACTTTCTACTTCAAGTTTTATCAACAGTATACACAGTTCATTAATTATTACAATAGAAATATCAACGGTCGATCACTTTTTTAATCTGAGATCATCTTTGAATTGTGATCCTCAAGTAGTAAATGAGAGACTAATCAAAGCATTGTAAATAAAAACACAAAATAGGAAAAATATTCTTCATTTGAATAAGAGACAATACTATTTAAGTATGATTATTAACCTAAGAACAAATGTGCGTTATTAAATATTAACAAAAAATTATAATACATTTCTACAAGTATATGTATATTTTAAAAATAGTTTGTATAAACTGTAGGATCTTACAATTCTATGATTCCGAGTTTATGGTCCCTTTACAATCCTAGCTAGGTAGGAAAGCAAGTTTGACATCTTTGAATAAAACATGAGTTTAACATCCTTGAATAAAACATTTAACGTCACCAAAAAACATGTAACCCAAAAACGATAAAAACATGCACATGTGTGCTCATGGACATATATTAATGTCCATGTGCTTTTCCTATGTAAAGTTTAATATCACATGTAACAAGAAACTAAGAGTTCAACAAAAGAAGCATTTTGAATTGAAAAAAAAAACTACAACTAAAAGTTACATCATGTGGATTATCTATGGATAATGGACTATTTGTAGATAAGTTGTCACGGACTTAGTTGGTTTTGCCTTGGACGTATGCCACCTTTGCGTGTCTATATGCAAAGGTCAACCTCCACGTAATATCTCAAGGTCCTCTAATGACATGCAAAAGAGAAAACAGATTAAAAAATAAGGCAACGCACGTGCAAAGTGCCACTGTTGCTTTATCGAAGAGTAAACTCGGGATCCACAATTAGGCATTTCAGCAAACACTTGATAGGCCCTACAAAATACAAAAATGGATTTCACAAGCTTTGAATAATCGCGTGACAAAAGAGTCTAAGATAATTTGCTCCCTACGACACCGGTGTGAAACCATACGACGAACCAACACAAGACACTACGAAGCCCCACCAACCATGACACCTGGGGGTTCCAGGGGTTTGAGATGACTGATGTTTTTTGGTTGTTTACCGCTCATGGAAATCCCTACAAGTTATGAGCTGGAGGCTTCATTTTTAGAGATTTGCCTCTACACGACTATCACATACAAGCTATGCTTACAAGTCAAAATAAGCTACAAAACCCTACCAAAATGTAGCTATCATGCCTACTACAAGCCTAGCCCCTTACATGTTGTCTAAGGCATGAACAAAAAAGAAAAAGTACAAACATTATATTGATCATGTTCACTACAATCAGTCTATGATAATCCCCTAACTTATTCCTTCAATGTCCTCATCAAAGCCTTTGTGGACGCTTCATCTCCTTGCCTTGTTACATCTTCAATCTTGCTTTAGCTACAACACGCCTCCCGACTCCCAAATGGTCTTTCGATGTTGTTATGTAGTTGAACTTTGATCCATCACCACTGCTTCATCTTGCCACTTTAATGTGAGTCAATCAAGTTGTGTTGATCTTCGTACCTTCCTTGTTGTGCACTAATCCCTCAAACGTCTTGTGCCGATTAAACTAGATGGATGCTTATTCGAGCTCTAACAAGGATCACCTTAAAAAATCTAAAGTTTTAAGGACTTGTCCTCTATAAAATTTGTTCATCAATTCCTCTTTTGCTTAATCATCACCTTCAAGTAAGTTTGCATCACCTCCATTTTCAGCTACCACTCTCTTGAGAAATAACGTGAACAAACTACCTTTAGTAAACCCAAATCTGTTATTGAGAATTTTGACAACTGTCGAATAATTAAGAGCAAGGCTTTTAATATCGTTCCGTACCACTCGATACGTGTGATATGTATCGGTCCACCAATTGACTGGCACACGGACCACCCACTACCGAGCGGTATCAACCTGGCTGCAGCGAGGAAGAAGATGGCATTCAAAGAAGACGGAGAAGCATTGAAGAAGAGGGAGAAGCGTCAAGAAAGAGTACCACGGAGTCACCGATACGCCGTCACCAGCGTCTTGATTAACCTGAGCCCGTTGAACCTCGGTGCAAACTTGTCTTCCACGCCCTTTCTTGTTCCCGATATGACGCCGCCCTCCCTCGCCGATCCTGATCTAGGAGGTAATGACAAGGAGAGTCGTACATCTTTGGAGGGGGAGCTAGAGGTGCGAGGATCAAGGGATGCGACAATGAGAGCAACGGAAGAGGCAGCCACGAGGAAGTCAACGAAGACCCCAACCTTCTTCATCTCCGAACGATCTCCTTCGTCCACTATTGTCGGCCGCAAGGAGAACCTTCCGATGCCAATGTCAAGGAGAATCCTTCTAAGTCATACGTAGACAGTGCTTGAATGTGAAGTTAGACATACAGTATCACTAAAAAAAAGATATAAAATTTATATCTTTTTATATAAAAAAATATAAAAATAAAAAATTAATATATAAAGATATAAAAAGATAAAGATACGACATACCGAGCAACCGCCTCGTTATTGTCACATTGTCTTTCTTCTCCCCATCTCCTTGACGTTGAAGGCCGCATACGAGGCGACGAGGAGAAGGACAAGGTGATAATGATGAGGCAACCACTCGGTATGCCGTATTTTTATCTTTTTATATCTTTATATATTGATTTTTTATTTTTATATAAAAATATTTATATTTTATATCTTTTTTTAGTGATCCTGTACGCCTAACTTCACATTCAGGCATTGTTTACGCATGACTTAGAAGAATTGTCTTCATCAATGCACCTAGGATGAGGATAGGATGGAATAATGCTATCGAAGGTTTATATATATATATATATATATATATATATATATATATATATATATATATATATAGTACCACTCGAAACTAAAATTAAATTTTATATTTTTTTCCAAGTGTCCCGCTTGGTACACCGTACCGTACCAAGCAAAGCTTAGTACACCAATACAGTACAAAATTTCAATCTTTTATTAAGAAAACTAGAGTACACGATCCCTCAATGAGGGCAAGGGCTTAGCGACTCAACGAAAGTCCCACCTCTGTAGTACCATGGTGCTCTCTCATGCCCACGGTCCTATCATTTATCACATTACATTCATGTCCCATCTCTTTGTGATCGACAATTCTACCATTACAACATTATGATACTCCCTTTGAGTCCACCTTCATTCTAACTAATGCTTGATTTTGGGTAGCTAAGTCCCTTTGGATTCATCATTGTTTTCTCACCCCTTAGGACCATATGCTTCAACATCTTCGTGTTCTCTAAGTAGTTTACCTCGATACAACACTATAACTCTCATGCATGGCCTCTATTATATGATAGGGTTCACACTGATTTTACTCTCCTTTGTCCTTGGTAATAACATTCGTCGGCTCGATCATATCCACTAACTGTGTTGGGTTCTCTCAAGCAAATATAAGCTCAAGACTCGCTAGTACTTGCACTTGAAAGGTCCACCACTATAGTATTGCACCTTTATTCGCCAATGATCAAAGGCT